GCCTAGATGCAACTTGCGGATATATTGGACATGGGCTAAAGGACGTGCTCCGTTTGCTGCGTGAAAAGCCCGGTGTACAATGTAGCCATTGACAATAGCTAGATCCACGAGTCCCAAAATCAGCGACTTGTAGTACTTACGGAAAGTAACTGCACGCTGCAAGGAATACCGTTGTAGGCGGAGTTGATCATGCACATCAACTCCGCCCATGAACTTGTGGTAGTCCTTCACTGCTTTAGGACAAGCCACTTCATGTTGCTCTCCAGTCTTCTCCCTCCTCGCAACCCTCTCAAGCGCAAGATCACTCCCGATACACAAGAAAAAAACTGGTTTGCTGTCCCACCACTTGATAGCAGCCATTTGCTTCACTTGTTTGGATCGAACGGTAGTGAAAGTTCCCCGCATGATATGCTTGGGTCGTTTCGTCGGGTCCTTCTTCTTGTGTCTGATACTTGCAGCGAATCCAATTCGGTTTGTCACGATCGTGCCAACGATATAGAACCCCATCAATAGTAACTGGACAGCTAGCACCACACTGGTGTAGAAGCGATCCGTAACCACGAGCCGAAAGCCCTTGTCTTGTCCGTCAGGAATACTGCTTTCAGGTTACGAACTACCGCAGCAGGACCCGACTTTTTGTCCACCGAAGTCGTGTCATCAATGTGTTGCTTCTTGCCTACATAGACCTCAAACCTGTATTATACAGCACATATATACAGAATATCATAGATGTCAGATATATTATACAGCGTTTCATTTCCAAACATTGCGGCAAGTACCTGATGCAGTACGCGGAGCGCGCGCAGCACAGCATAAACAAATTTGTGCCCCATTTACACGGTTTTATCCTTCATGTACACGCGAGTCTTGTTGAACGACAACCGCGACGGTAGCATTCCTTCATCGAACACAAGCTCAGCAGGAGGTACAAAACCACGACGAAATGTGCGCTGCAGCACATGAACTATCTTCCGAATCTTCCAGGCTCTATCAGTCTTGGCGCGTGGATCAAGGTTGCTTGAGAAGTGCAGGTTTCGGGAAATCTCCATGAAGCGGTCTCTCGTCATATAGTTAGAGAACTTGCCACGTCCGATAGCGCCTTCATCGTCTCTTTTCCAGTGGTTAGAAAATCTTTTCTCGGTTTGGCTGCACGGTCCGAGCGAGAAGTAGCTCCATGAACACACAGAGTTCATGGGGAAACACAGGCTTGACTGCCATGAGTGACATGCGTACATCTCCTCGCGAGCGTAGCGGAGTCTTGTCATCCGGCCGGCGACGCTGCATGTTTTTTCGACGTTCTAAGTATGCTTCAACACGCGCCTCTGTCTGCTCATGTTTGTAGTTGTTGCTGCACACAGCGACATGTTGCCAAAGTGCTACTAGCATGAAGTAGAAGCACAGCGCTAGTGGTGAATCACCACACTTCATTGCATCTGGCGTAGGTCCGAAAGGCTCCTTCCTCAAGTCCGGGTAGCTGTTTTCTTCTCCGACGGCTTCGTATGGGCGTTGCAAGTACTCGTACACATCAGGAGATTCGAATTCCGACCATCCAGTTGCGCTGTGCTCCCGCTAATTAATCATGTCGTCGCCGACGACATTCCCAGCAAGCACCTTGTCTGGCCCTCCCAGTGACGCGAGAAACGTCTCGGTAAAGTGTCGCTCTGCGACAGATTCAACTGAGTTGATATCATCACCACCGGATTCGTCATCGTCACCTTCTCCGTGCTCGACACCGACTTCGTAACCCTCGTCTTGTAGATCATCTACGTCGATAATAGCTTCTTCATCAATCTCGTCTCCAGAGTCAAGGTCACCAAAGTCGCTAGGGCCTTCTCCATCCTTCATTTTGTTGAGATTGTCTTCCACGTCGCTACACATGAGACTATCGGCTATACGACACAATGCATATCACATGTTAGACAGGGTAAGCGTAAGTTGTATATACAGGATACAAAAAAACGCACCATCCTCGTAGTCGGAATCGCCGTTATCGTCGTCGACGATAACAACCTCGCCTTCGTCGATGGCAACTTCATCGTCACTGTCATCTTCGTCCGATGAGCCAAAAAGAGACGTCTCAATAGAAGTATGGACGATAGGACTTGAGCGAACCACCCTGTCCCGCGGAACCAACTCGTATTCGTCATCCTCGTCTTCTGAACTGAAAATGCCACCTCTATCATCTGCACCACAAGCCATACACCAGTAAGTAAGGCAATCCAAGTAGACACGTTGAGAGTACATACCATTCATAGGACTCGAAGAGGCGCTCAACCGCGGAGGGGAATCACAACGCCCGGCAGCGGTCGATTCAGTCAAAACTTGCGACGTCGCCTGCAATTCCTCGACGCTTGGACCAATTGAAGCTGTTGAATTAGCGACCTCAGTGCTCGACGGCGTAGGAGCTAAACGTACGCAAGAGGAACGGGCACGTTAGACAAACCAAATCATTCAGCATTGCCATGTGGCATACGTCTACCTTTTGCGGAGCACGCCGAGCTCAGCGCTTCGGCTGCTGCCATTGAATGAACTAACATAGACCAGTACAAAGTCACTTGTCAGCAATATCAGCAAGGTAAAGGCAGCGTTGTGTACGTACCGGAGGCATAATGAGCGCACACTCGATCTTCACCCAAAAAGTAGTCCTTGCCTTCGATACCGTTTGCTTTTCCGCCAGGCGGAATAAACTTCCATCGGGTCTCGATCGAGCTTGCTGGGGGCTTCTTGTGCTTCCACCCGCTCGCCTTCAGCTGGCTCCAGATGTCGCGCCAGGTAGGCGTACCGCCGTCAGCGATGCGCTCGGCCCACCGTTTTTCGCGCGCAGCACACATTAGTCTCCAAATCTGCAAATTCTGAAATAAAGGAAGCTCGACAGCCACCACTCAAAAAACCTGCGATATATGTTAGATAATGTGGCGCTTGTGTGTAAGACCTACAACAACTAATTTTCAGAAAAGTTGGACAGAGACTGCACTCTCTTCCCTCGCCTTTTTTTCGCATAACAGACAGAAACTGCGCAACTCATTGACTTCGGCTTTGTATGGCCTGTAACAGCGGCAGGCGTGAACAAATCGTCCGGTATACAAAAATCAAGTATAGCGTGGTTCCTGGGCTGTATATATACAACTTAGATTGGAGGATTATCCTTTCCATAGGATTTGCTAGCACATCTTATACAGCGCATCGGGTTGAAGAGGTTAAAATACATGGCGGTTTAGTACTCGGTCACTTACCTTTTCCATTGTGTCAGTAATCGTACCTTTCATAACTTATGAATCATAAGAGTGAGCACTCGGGACGTCTTCGTAGTCCCTCTTGCGCTTTAGAATGCCTTGGAGGGTGGAGTGCTTTACGTGGGCTTGAAACTCTTGTGTGGCCCACTGAGTGATCTGAGACAGCGTCCATGATGGCTCTGTGGCTGCCTTCCTGCACAATGTTTGCTTATTGGCGAGATTCAGCGTAGAATAGGCGGATGGGCGACGTGCCATGGCGTTTTGCGACAAAATTTATAATGTGCTGTTGTATGGTGAAGTGATTGAGCTGATACATCGTGGTGGAAGTGCGGCGTTTCATCCCTCCTCAAGGAGGGGGAATACCATTGAGGTTATTTGGTCCAAAGGAGATGAGCAACTCACTTGCGCAATGCATGTGGCGCAATCATTAGATTGTCCAGGTTATTAAGCCATACCGGGGCCGAAAACGAGGTGCACGACTGTACTTCTCCCGTGCAAATACAGTACACATGTTCAGGTAGCACGCTGCCGGTCGAGGACGAGCGCTAAGAATGAAAAGTGTTTCGCACGTGGGGGCCATGAGAGTATCAACCCGCGTAAAAACGATATGGAGGTAGATCCCAATTCTATACCAATTGCTCACAGCCTTGAATTTGCTCGATGAGCGCCTTCGTACTTGCTGGACTGCTCGGTGTTGCGGCGCAGCGATAGCCGCTGCTTTAGTGAAACCAGTACGTTGTGCTCTGCACTAAAAGACCGACGAAGAAGTCGTTGGCCAAAGTGCTTTTCAAATGAGCACTTTGGTTTGCAGGAGCACAAGTACACGGATGCTAGGTTTAGCAGCATTGTGCGAACGCGAATCTTCCGTCCTGTTTTGCTGAGTGGCAACCCGCATTGCGAGGAGAAGGAACCAGAAGGCCGCTCCGCCGTCACACTCCGTGTACGCCTTATCGAAGCTTAGAATTAAAAAAGTATCAGGATCTGAAAAATAACTTTGCCAGGGTACCAGGATCTGGCGATAATCTGGCGAGTGCTAATTGAATAGTGCCAGGATACTATTAAATATGTTAATTTCCCCTATCATACCGGTATCTAAATACTGTTTACCGTACTCAAGCTCCTCTCGACGACGATACGACCCGAGGCATCGAATTTGAGACATGATAGCACTTCGAATCTACCAGTGGTAGTACAGTACTGCACCCCGATTTCGCAGCAGGTGGACCATACATGTATATGATTTGCAAAACAATCAGATTTTAGCTATAATAATAAAGCTCGATTGGATTCAGAATCATCACATCCGGAATCTTATCAAAGATTCAAGGGCACGAAAATGGGGTTCAGTACTGGATTAAATCAAGTATGTACCACTGGTAAACTATCACTGCAAAATAGAGCATCTTATTAGTTATGTAGTGGAACACACTCACTTTCTTTAAGGTTGTCCAGCGGCATTGTAGCGAAGGCCATTATATGGCCGGTATATTATTCCGGGAACAACCATCCTGGAGGGCGGAGTAAATTGTATTGAAAAACAGGACCACAGTATAGTATACTGTATCTACAGGAGTAAATTCTACTCCACTTCTCGTACTCCGCAAACTGTACAATGCTTTTCATGGGATCGATTCCAGGATTTGTTGCCCCATAGTTTGTGTCACTCTTCGGTACAAGCAGTGGGTTTGTCAAATACAGCCGTTCGTCAAGAAACTGGCCCCATGCTCGTGTTCAGTGAATAGTCTTCTCCACTGATGCATTTCGAATTATCCCGAAAGCTGTCGAGAGCGATGCTGTGCCACTACGTTACGCTGTTGGTTACCGCAATTTTCCTTGCCGGTTTGAATGCTCAAGTGGCGACTGCAGACTCCAAGATGGGTGATTTTGTCCTGTCAACAAAGCGTGGGCTGCGAATCCACACGGACGCCATGGAGGAAAGAGGGTTCAATATGTGGACAACAAAAGCTGTACCGGAGCTCTTGCTCGCCGACGATCAGCTTCAGCAGTTGGCGAAGGTGTCCACATCCTCGGACAACGTTTTTAAGCTGCTAAAGCTTGACGACGGACTGGATGGAATACTGAGTAACCCAATCTGAAGGCGTTTGCCAATTACCTACAGATTTCGAAAACGAAGGCACCCGATGAGGCATTAATCACGACGTTAATCAAGCAATATGGAGACGATACTGTGGCAAAATTTCTTTTTGACGCGAAGGAAGTAAAACATACTAAGGAATTAGCGTCTAACTTGCAAGCCGTTCAGTTCATCAAGTGGTTTCAGGAGGGGAAAACAACACGTGATGTCTACAATTTGCTCCAGCTTAAGCACTCAACGGCGTACACGGACCGGTACCAGCGAGCTTGGTGGGACTACGTCAGTGCATCCGCATATCTAGTGAGCAAGTCGAAAAAATAGCACTCTACCTGTCATGGTTGTCTTCGAACATGATTGTACTCGTTGCCACGCTAGTATTATAGTCACCACCAATCTTACACGTAATACTGTACAATCTCTCTCAAAAGCCCATACAAAGTTATAAAGCCTGGCTGCTAGGATAGGCTCCAATAAAGTGAAAGCACTTAGGCCCGGTATTAGCCAGCGAAAAATGGTGGATTTGGCTCTAGTGGCCCAATAGAATCCCAGGGATGCAGATGTTGGTGGACACCGGATGGGGCCACCAAAACGGAATCAGATCCACGTCCACCGTCGAAAATTAGTGGTGGTGGCCGTGGACGGAGGGTGGATGGAGGGAATACTCACCACGCTGGAGTGCACCACGTCAGAGGTAGAGGTAGCAACGGGATAGCATATTATCTTTGCACGACACTGTCGTGTTCACTCCATCTTTTCTACTCAAGACCACAACCGCCTCAGATCTTCGGTGTACACTGTCCAATATGTCATCCAGCGCTGCAACCCAACAGGCCATGCCCAGCATCGCCGATATCCTCTTTGACTCAACTGTTACTCCGGAGGACGCTGAAGCTAAATTGACGACGTTTGGAGCAAAGCAGTTGCGGACTGAGTGTTACTTGCGGCAGCTTCGCATTGTTAAGAAAGGTGCTGACTGCAACGACCACAAGGTTGGGTATGTGGCGCTACTCGTACAGCAAAAACGTGCATTCGCTGAAATGCAGAGACTTGGAGTTGAGGACGGACCGTCCAAAACATTAGGTGCCGCTAAAATCAAACGACGTACACGCCACTGCATGATTCGCCTTCTCAATGTCATGTTTTCTGAGACTTTTGCGGGCCGAGTGCATGAAATTGACGGCAAACCAACGCGGGCAGAGCTGGATTCTAACCAAACGCATGCCAGATCCTCATTTTGGACGGCCTTTAATGACGCCTATCTTAGCGATCGAGCTGAATTCGGCAAACTCAACTCGACGCTCGCCATGTTTGCCAAATGTAACCCAGCCTTCATTGTACCTCATGACGCAGCAAAACTTCGCGATATGTGGAAGGACGTCAGTAGTCGATACAATATTGCTCTAGCTAACTCCCGCGTGTCAGGTACACACGACAACGACTTTTTCTCTTTTTGTTCCGGGAAGATCGACGTTCTGTACATGCACGAGTGGCTAAGCATCAAGCCCGGAGTATTGGAGACTGTAGAAGGCAAGCTTCCTAAACGCGCCCGGTTGCAAAAAATGGATACAAGCAGTGACAGCGAAAGCGAGAGTTCAAGAGAGTCTAAGAGGAAGTGCACCCGATCCAGGTCCAGCCCTAGCAAAGATGATGTGGTGTCAGAAATTATAGAGACAATCCGGAGTAGCAACAAGTCTGCTGAGGCATTGGAGATAGACTGCCGCTTTACTCAGCTTGTCTCCACGTTGAGCTCTCTGCTGTCATTACGAGAGAGGATTATGAACGCACCTGACGGCAGCTACACTAAAGATGATCTTCAAGATGTCAACGATGATATTGCACATGTTCGAGCTAAGAAAAGAGCGTTGTTAAAAGACCAGTCAGAGTAGACGTACGCTCGAAAAAAAATGAAGGAGCTGTTAAACGATTAATCGATCCAGTAGAAGTCGTCCTTGTAACCTCAACTGCTCATGACGATCCAGTGGATCTTCCAGTCTTCCACGCCGTAGCCCACTACCAACACCTCGTGGTTGACATCGTTCTAAACAGATCGACACTCCGTCGACTCGTACACTCCCGACTTGTATAAACGGAAGTTGGGCCAGTAGAACCCACAGAGACGCATTGAAAGGAGGTGAAAACACGAGGCGGGAGTCATGTTGGATTCTACGAATGAGCGTGATGTGAATGAGATACCTACACTGGAAGAGGGACAAGTGGCCACGAAATCTGGTACGTCTATGGTGCTGGGCGAGACAGCCGTCGTGCAAGCACAATATCGGATATTACATTCAAGTTGTTCGGTAAAGAATGTTCTAAAACGATGGAGAATTTCTGTATGTAAACGAACTACACAGCGTTGCGGCGTTTATTATACTGGGGTCTAGTGGATTGGTTCGCTCGAAGTGTTTCGACAATGAAGTCTCTCATACTGCTGCGTCCTTCTTCGAGTCGAAGATCGCTCGACATGTAACCCACCAGATTGGAAACATCATTGAACTTTCGAGTTCGGCTTGGTACCCGAAGCGGTCGAATAGTCTCGTCAAAAATACAATAGTCATTGTCGGTGGCCATGCGCTTGTTGATAACGTAGTTGTGGAGCACCATAGCGGTGTAAATGGTATTCGTGGCGTTGCCTAGGTTACGCTCTATTGGCATCCTGAAAACTCTCCACTTCGTCGTTAAAAGTCCGAATGCCATCTCGATCCGAATTCTCAATTGACTAGCGTGAAAGTTGAACGAGTCATGATATTCATCCATTATCTGGTTGCGAGAAAACGGCGTGAGTAAATGCTCACCTACAGAGTAAGCATTGTCTCCAATGATGTACATCCCAGTAGGAAGCATATCCAGTGCCCTGGAGACGCCAGTGTCATGAAATGCACGGGCATCATTGGTGCTACCCGGAAAACTAGCATCGATTGCAATAAACCGACAGTGAGCAGCACAAACGGCTTGTACGTTAATGCCAGGGCAAGCGTAATGACCACTATAGTAGCGACCAACACCGACTTCGCCAGCATCAGCAAGGGTTGGTGTCTTTATACGACAAAGCCAACCATCTACACAGCCAATGCAACCACTCATTACACCACCGCTGCTTATGTTCTTAAACGCCTCCATCACCACCTCTTTCTCTGAGTCCGAATTGGGGAAAGTTATCTGAAGCTCCTCAAGAGCAAGAATCGCACTCATTGTCAGATCGATCACACGATAATACGAGGGCGAACTGATGCCAACAGTACGACGTATATCAAGGTATGATCCCCCCGCCAGGTATCGCAACGTCGTCATCAGCATTATCGAAGGCGATATGGGTGCTTCGCCACTCGAATTAGTTGATTGCTGCTCGGATACAGTGAGGGCTGGTGTAACTTTCCACAGTAAATGACTAAAACTTTCTGCAGACATGCGAAAGGTTCGTTCAAACATGTTTTCATTTAGTAACATCTCGATTTCACAGTCCACATCGACCCGCTGCCGCGACACTCTCGGCTTCCTTGGTCGTCGCCACGTCAGTACAAAGAGAAGTAGTACGAGGTGAGTGTTCTTTTGCCGTCGAAGGCGTCGAGCGACGGAGATGACGTCTTGCGCGATCATGTCTGCGCTGGACGAGGTTTCGATTTCTGTTGTTAAATGTGTCGAAGAGAAAAGGGCCTTGCTCTAGCGCGCTTTTCGATCTAAATAGACGCCTTCAAATTAGATGTAAACCATCCCGCCCTCAACTGATCCACCTGGGCCATCCACTAAGTTTTAGCTCCGATCTTAGCGAGTGGCATGTGTGTGGACACGCAGAAAAAGTGCGATCCACCAAAGAGCTCGTCCACTAGCAAGTTTTCGCTAATACCGACCCTTAGGCCGTGTTCGATTTAAGCTAAAACCAGCTGTAATTGGTATTAAAGAGCTGGAATGTCTCAACCAGCTTTATTCCGCTAAGAAACACAAAAAATGACATCCAGCAGGATAGCTCCAAACGACTAATTTCAAAATTTAGCTCTGGGTTGAATTTTGAATCGTCCTGCTTTGCGCCTTCAAATCCAGTCTTTTTCTGATGGAACACGATCACTTATTTTATCTTTATTTTACTTAACAAAACGACTGCTCTACAGCTCTAGCTTATTTTCGAACAAGCTCCTGCAAACCGAACACGGCCTTAATGACAAGATAATTCAAGTTATGCTTCAGTGCACTACAAGCACCGTACACTGTAAGTACTGCTTAATTAAAGCCTATCTCAAAATTTTCATCTACTGGCATTCTTCGAGCACGAGATGTAGCGCTGATAGCCTCGCATGCAATCTTCTTCTTATGTGCGATAGTGTAGCTCTGCATATGGCGTAATTTTACCCCAGATTATGAAAGGCTTTTCTTTTGTTTTAGCAAAGCACCTTTATGTATAATCAGTTCTAAATTTTGAAATGCACAGAGAGCGCTTTCCAACTGAACCAAATATGACCTTTGCGAAAGCCGAGTCTTTCTAAAAAAAAATAGAGAGAGCTTTATTTTTAACCCAAAAAGACTTTATTCTGTATCGTGATGCTGATGTATCCACTGCCCAACTAACGTTTGACCAATCGGCACGAGATTTTCCTAACGTCTTGTGGTTTTGATTGTAAACCCATCCCTAGGAAAAAAATGACCAATCGTTTCCGTTTCCCCTGGTCTGTTTGAGGCCTCGAGTAGGCTTAGCGTCTCGAGCTCAGTTTTAGAACCCAGGACTAAAAGCCAAGCCAGGATCATCACCATGCTATCCCCCTACAGTTGGCGCTTTACAGACAGTCTACGTGGCGAGTTGCGCACAAATCAAAAACAGGACGCCCTGCCGCCTATGGGTGTGATCGCTAGTCAGCTCAAACACTGTACTGTGTGTAGTAGCAACCTCGATCAGCATCATATGCGTACCGTATCTACTGCTGCAAGTCCGAGCCCTGCTTGAGCGCACTTATCTCGTGCAATTTTAAGCTGAAGACCTTGACCTGCGAGAGAAACGAAGCAGAGCCACCT